AGGTGTAAGGTGGCCAAGATATAACAGAGTGCTAGGTGGCCAAGATATAACACAGGAGACTGCTAGGTGGCCAAGGTGTAAGGAAGGTGCTCTCAATATAAATAGGGCATTTTTCGTAGTTCCCTTTTATTACGGCTTTATACGTGTTAAATTTCATCATAAAATGTATAGCATTACAAAATGATATACGATGTGGATAATATTTGAAGATAAAAAATCCGCCCTGGAGAAACTGCCTTTAACGAAGTAATTTACGATTGAAATAATTGTTTCGGTAAAAAAAAGTAATTGTTTTTATAAGATGGTTGTAAATTTGCAAATGTTTTTTGTGGTGGCACCGTCTGGTGCGACACTCTTGAATCCCATCCAAACAGAACCGCGCCGGTGCGCACCAAGTTAAGACAATAAAAGCTAAGACTGTAAGATAGCGGTGTCTTGGTTAAAACAAGAACCGGCTCCGACAGCGGGCGACACGTGAACGCCACACGCAACAGGTACACAAGGAGGTTAGCGCTAATTAAACAGGTGCCCCCACGACGTTGCTAATGTTGGCCCATGTTTCTGGTGGGTTTCTTGTAGGCCCATGTTTTTGGTAGGTTTCTTGTTGGCCCATATTTTTGGTAGGTTTCTTGTTGGCCCATGATTTAGGTTGGTTTCATGTTAGGCCATGGTTTTGGTGAGTTTCTTATTGGGCCATTTTCTTGTGGGTTTCACGGTAAAGCTAATGTTATTCGTGGTGGGCTTCATGTTGGCCCTGGTTTCTGGTGAATTTTATTATGAGTGAAATTTAAAAAATAAATACCCTGGTACCCCATTACCGACGTGACGTCAAGCAATGGGGGCCCTAAAGTTTGATGTTGCCAGATAAATGTAGGGCAAGTAACTCTGAACAACGCTGGTTTAGTGAAATATACAGAACAATGCCAAAAGCATGTATCATGTGAATCACGTACACGGCAATGCCAAGTTTATTTATCATAATACAATACAAATGCCAAGTGTATGTGTGATGGTTATTGTCAGTGTCAACGTATTTTCAGAAAGATATTGGAGGGTCCAAGAGAGAGAGAAAACATTAATGTTATGTGGTCAATAAAACTCACGCCTACACCACTCTTCCTGGTAAAGTTTTAAAAACTTAGTTGCGACAATATTCAATAGATAAATAAACCGGTAGTGATCTCCCCTAAACTTTCTCGAATATTCTTATATAAAACAACAAGGGGATGGTAACTGGGGATATAGTTATGATTTTTAATCCATTTTAAATACTAAAACTTTTAAAAATAGAATAGAATCTCAGTAAAAAACAATTGCGCACCAAGCGAACGCCTAATAAAGGTGTGTATAATAGTGCGCAATATTATTAGTACTTTTAAAATTTACATTAGTTTTTTGAGAAATCGGAAGTAGCGTAAATTACTACTTCCTGTCAACGGAAATTACTCAAAATTTAACAGAAGGTAGAGAATTAGATCTTTTACTTACATGTGAAATTTCATTTATCTATCTGAAATAGTACTCAAGTTATAGGCTTTTAAAAAATTCAAAGTAGGAAAAGTACCACTTCCGGTTATCGGAAATCGCTCAAAAGTTGATACGGATCTACGATTTTGATAAAATACTTATATATGAAATTTCATCAACCTAGCTGTAACGGTACTCAAGTTATCGTGTTTACACACGGACAGACAGACAGACAGACAGACACACACAGACATACGGACAAGATTGCAAAATTATGTTTTTCCGTATCAGTGAGGTGTAAAACGTCGAGATTTGTAAAAATCTCGATTTTTTTTTTTTTGCACGATTACAATACTTTCTCTATACTACGTATATACGAGAAAGTAAAAAAGCAAAAAGTTATCTCAACCATCAAAAAGAAGCACTAATTTTGATTGATGCAAACTACAATTTTGCGTCCTTTCCGAGATATATTAACTTTGATAAAGGCAAAATGTCGTTTTTATACGCACTCTATGACGCCATAAGTCTGGCTAAGACCGCAGTCTGTCGACTCGCCAAGGTTACCGCAGTTATCGACCTTTGATCAACAGGAAGACAGCAACTCGCGATACACGGTTGTATACGTAGCTAAGGGACGCTGAGACGAGCCACGGAAACGAGGGTATGATGACTCCCCCTTACCTGCACTTACACACATAAAAAAAGTGTTTTAAAAATAAATGTACCTGCGAAACGCGTTATTCAGCACATCCACGTGGTAACTATTTTTGTCTGGGACGTTTTTTGATCAACCCGTGTAGCTGGCACAGCACGGACGTCTTAGAGGTTAATGTTTAATTGTCTTAGTACGGATGTCTAAGACTGTATAATGGTTAATGTTTCAATAGTTTCATTGTCTTAGTACGACGTCTAAGACTGTATAATGGTTAATGTTTCAATAGTTTCATTGTCTTAGTACGCAATTTCAGCAACAGCTGTCGTAAAGTGCAGGCATACATACAAAAAACACAAGCATTAAAACAAAAAAGACACAAGTAACATGGTACGTTAAAGTGATTAAAAAATGTAATGATTACTTTTTCTTATTTCTGTATTTATTTTGGCGAGCTACGTTTAGCTGCACGTACATACAGTTCGTTTGGCTGTACATTTCTTCGTGGTTATTGTTAGGTTTGGGGTAATTTTCTATAAAAATTGAGGGAGCAATTTAACAATGTATAGCACGTCTAACAACCCCAATTTCACAACTATTTTTGATTGTGTAACAGCAAAACTCCAACGCGATCATACATAACTTCTGTTCCATATTAAAGGCTACAAAGTCAAAGCGCATCACGTATGGTATTTTACAAAGCAAAGCGCCAGTTCAATATCTAACTAGGTGACATCATATTGTGTGTGACTTCAGTATTAGAAAACACACTAAATGTCAGAAAACTAACGAATAGGTAAACATTGATACTCCATATCGGTATCTAACCTAGCTATATTAACCCTTTTGTTAGCGTTTAACCGATAGTCTGTTATCGATCTCTGATTTAACATTATTAACAAGAAAGTACAATGTGTATAGTCTAGCTTCAAACAGGCAGAAAACAAGAAAGTACAATTTGTATAGTCTAGTATCAAACAGTAAACAAGAAAGTACAATTTGTATAGTCTAGCTTCAAACAAACAGAAAACAAGAAAGTACTTTTTGTATAGTCTAGCTTCAAACAGTCAGAAAACAAGAAAGTACAATTTGTATAGTCTAGATTCAAACAGACAGAAAACAAGAAAGTACAATTTGTATAGTCTAGTTTCAAACAGACAGGAAACAAGAAAGTACAATTTGTATAGTCTAGCTTCAAACAGACAGAAAACAAGAAAGTACAATGTGCATAGTCTAGCTTCAAACAGGCAGAAAGAAGAAAGTACTTTTTGTACAGTCTAGTATCAGCAAGAGAGAAAACAAGAAATGTCATTAACGACGAAAGTGAAAGCCCATTTTGAGGTCAGCTGGGGGCAAAGATGGGCGAGCCAGAAACTTTTTAAAATTATTATCTCCCTTCGGTGATCCGACACGCCATTCGTCAGTACTAAGGAGATTAATGAAATCACAGCGTCAATTAATCATACTTGTGACGTCACCACAACATTTCTTCCCCTACCTTCGTTCGAATTCCATTTGTATTACAGTATAGGCAAACACACATCCTATTTCAACGTTAGACAAAGGTTAATATAGAGGGTAACGTAGGGGGGGGGGGGAGTGTCGTTGTGGTTAGCTAATAATGAATGAAGTTGCGTAGAGGTCATTCCGCTCTTTTACTCGTCTAAAACTTTTAAATATTTTTTTTCTTCTATTGTGAAGCCTTACAGCGTTCACTCATCATCTAGATAGATCTAGTAGTACGTTTGTTGGCAAAAACTGATTGATCGTGACTTTTTTGCATTTACATTTATCGTTGAGAGAAACAAACAATGTAATCTAGAAAAATAAAGCAAATCAATCTTGAATACGGCAAAAGTGACAGCTAGGGCCTAGGAGATTCATACATTACATTTACAAATGATCAAAAATGGGACGCGAAATTTAAACTTGGGTAAAAATGGGCGTGGCTATTTGTTTGTTTACCTTTTTATACCAATAGAATTTATTTGATTTCTTATATTTAAAAAAAAAAGAAGATAAAGATAAATAAGCAAGAAATATCACATTCTCATTGAAACCGCATCTTTAGTTTCGATACATTTTTAAAGAGAGAGTCTGGAAGACTACGAGAGAAGCGAAATACCAGGTAAAAGCAAGGTGGAACGTAGGCCGAGACAAGGTATCGTCCGATTCGAAGTTTAGATATTCTTAATTTTCTTTTGGTAAACATGTTGCGAAATTGATAAAAAGTATTAGATAATCTTACCTTGGCTATTTTCACAGGTTCGTTAAATTCCCTGCCACCTTGAAGTCTAAATCCCCAGGGAGAGCCCCCTGTTAAAACTACAGTGAACGTGGTCATGTTTTGATCGAAACCGCCATGAAGCTGTGGAGCTATCACACGAAAAACGAATGGGTTAGCCTCGTCTGAGTTTCAAGAAAAATAGTCGACTCGTGGAAATCTAAAAATAGAACTGAATTATTTCAAATTATATACATTAACAGTCAAAAGACTAAAAAGTAATAATTTATGTGTAGTTTAAAACTTTTTAAAAATCATATTGTGATGTTAAAAGGAGATGTGTGTATATTTTGATAATAATACCCGAAAAGAATGTGTATCCTTTCGATTTTAAAGAATGCAAAAAATTAAATAGGCCTACAAACAAATATATTCTAGAACTACGTTATTTAAATTTATGCAAAGGGTATTATTCTTTAAAATATACAAATGTTTAAACTGTAGCATATTATTATGGTACTTAAATTATTATTATTTTATAAAATAAAAATAAGCTGTTAGATCTCGAGTCTAGATAGGATATATTGTGCGAATAATATGAATAACTTTTTGTATAATACGATTACCGATTTACTTCCGGTGTCAAGTTAGCAACACTGTAAACTGAGGCAGTGCTATGCTATTTTTTCATGATTCTTTTGTGATTGTTATGGATCTACGTTTTACAATTGGAAATTTGTTTTGAACTGAAAGTTGATACTGCCATTTAAAAGATCATGGGTAGGGTTTTAAAGTTAGTATGTGTGACAGTGTGTGACTGTGTTGTGTTGTGTAAGTCGTAAGTAAGTACTATCTAGATCTAAAAGTCATAAAATGTAGTTTAAAAAAAGTTAAGTAGATCTACATCTAGAATCTAATCTAGATCTGATTCTAGAAAATCTAGATCTAGTTAACTAGTAGTACTACTAGTCTCAGTCAGTAGTACTAGATCTAGAATCTAATAATATAATCTATCTATTTTGTTTCCTAGATCTAGATCTATTTTCTAGATTCACCAGATTGCCCTCTGAATCTAGATGCTAGGTTCTGTCTATGATTTACTTTTTTCGAGTCTACTTAGAGTGACTTAGACTGACTTAGAGTACTCAAACTCTTAAATACCACAACTACGTCTTTTGTGCTTGATAAACAGTTTACTGAGTTTAGTCAACTAACTCTCTAGATCTAGTTGAAGTAGTTGTTAGTTGTGTTACTAGTACTAGTCTTACTCTTATGATGATTACTACACAGTGAGTGACCCGAGTCTCTTACTAGATCTTATACTACTTAGTACTTAAGGGGTCATCCATAAATGTAAATGACGTCATGCTTTTTTTTGACGATTTTTACCTCCCTCCCTCCCCTCCGTCACACATCATCACAAAAAGCCAGACCCCCCCCCCTAAAATGATGTCACACCTCAGCCCACAACCCCCCTCAAAATTGCAGTTGAATTTTTTTTTAAACATCGATATTTTTCCAAAATCTTGTCTGAATTCTGTTGAAATAGAGTATTTTAATCAAATTCCTATTACAATTTATTTAAACAGTTTTCTAAAACGCGAAATAACGTCTAAAATATGTTTTCTAACATTGCTTTTTTATAATGCAAAAGTGTGACGTCGCACCATCTGACTCCCCCCTCCCTGTCACCGTCACAAAATTATGGACCCCCTCCCCTCTACAAGTGTGACGTCATTTATGGACAACCCCTAAGTACTTTAGATGTAAAAGACTAGAACTAATTCAAGATCAACTTGCAGTAGACTGAGTAGTCAACATATATTTAATCCCATTATTTATTTATTTTTAATTTTTAGGCCCTAATATTTAGATTTTAGATATTAAAGCCTATTTACTAATTTTATAACTTTGTCAAAAAAATGCAAATTAATTTGAAATTTTAATGATTTAACTTTGCCCATCTGTACAATTCATTCATTGTTATTATTAAAAAATCCTACACTTTGTTTTTAGGATTTGGAGAAAACATTTAACTCACTAAATGGGATATGTGTTATACCACTCTCTGATAATGTCACAATAATGGAGTCTTCTTTTTATGTAAAAAGAGCTTAGATTACTTGTAGTTAACTTGACAGAAATGTTACTTGCTAATGTTAATGCCATCTTCAAAACCTGAACTTTAGTCCTATCATAGCGCTAACTCAATAATTTCTGATCATAACATTAAATCTGAGATTACAAAACTACAATCTAACACACCTATTTTCAGAAGAGTATTATCAGACATTAGTAGTACCAATACTCCCACTTTATAAATATGTAATAATTAAAGCAAATAACTTGATAGATACTCATATAAACCGATCACATTTAATTTTAGATTAGAAAAGAATTAGACTGAAATAATGACCAGTAGGTAGGTGATAGTGATAATTTTCTAACATAATAAAATAGGCTAAATTTGAATTTAAAAAGATATAGACCATAGGCATTGTGTTTTAAAAGTAGTTTAAAATGTATTACCTTTTAACATTATCAATCTGATTATGTTGTTTTGGTCAAAGTATATTTTTAAATAACTATTTTCCAGACAATTTAATGGATTTGTTGTCAAAGATGAATATGAATGACTCGGATAGTCTGGTTGAAAAGGTTTCACAGCTCATCAAATTAGTGTGTGAGCTAAGTAAGTGCTTACTAATTACTTACCAATAGAACGTATTTCTAAACTTAAGAATATGAGCTTTTACTTTTCTGTTTCAAACACAGCTTAGTTGTATATTTGTAAAATCATTTAATATTTTTGCCTATGTAACTAGATATTTCTTTCTTCTCATTCAAGATGAAAGTGAGTCAGAGAAAGACAAAATACAAGATTCGATCATACATCATAGTTCTATGGATCTCGTTTTTAAGAAACTAGAGAGTGAGAGAAAAGAAGAGGAATCACTCTTAGCCAGCTGTGCGCAGTTGATTGCTGAACTTGCTAAAACAGGTTTGGGAAAGCTTAAACCTGAATGTATGCTACAGCGTTTTTTTTAAATTCTGATTGAATCATTAAACAACTAATGTATTATGACATTAATTTCTGTTATAGAGAGTTTAAGAGAACCGCTAGTGGACAAAGGTGTGATACCCAGTTTACTCAAGCATCTAACGAGCGATAACATTTCCCTGGCAACTCAAGTGTGTCGGGCACTAGGGAATATATGCTATGATAATGGTGAGTTGTTATAAAATAGATGCTATGATAATGGCCATTTGATATAAAATAAATGTTATTATAATGGAGAGTTCTTATGACAAATGTGGTATGATAATGATGAATTTCTATGAAATATGTGCATTGCTAATGGTAAGTTGTTATGAATTAAAATGTTTTGATTATGACAAATTGTTAAGAAAATTGTGCTCTATGGTGATTTGCAACAGTCTTCTAAAAATACGATGAGTTGCTTTTCCTTTTAAAAAATGTTCAATAAATAGCTTTATTTGATTTTTATTTCTCTATAATTCGTTATGATTTTGTTGTACAGACCAAGCTCGTATTGCTGTAGAGAAAGAAAAGAGTTTACCAATGATATTAAATGTGCTGTCTAAACAAAATAATAGCACAGAGGATGGGGCATCTCGTCTGCGAATTATTTTATGTGGCTTCCTTTTGAACCTCACCAACAACTGTGGTAAGTTCAGATATTGATGTTTTGTACTTATAGCAAAAACAAGCAGCTTTGATCATTTAAGTCTGGTTGCTTTTACAACTTGGATTCTTACAACCAGGTGAATTATATAAAAGCCTAATGTTGGTTTTTTTAAAATTGATAACATTAAACACAATTTTTTTTTTGGGGGGGGGGGGGGGGGGGAAGTCTTTTTATGTAGCTAATTTCTATGTCTAGTTATAATCCAAATGCCACTTAAGTTGCCTTATGTATGTTTTCTAGTAGTGCTGACAGTGGTATATGACATTTATTCTAATTATCTAATTTATTAAGTTGAGTGTGGCAACCTTTTATTGATGTGGTTTATTTATTATGTTAGGTGATATTTTTGTCACTATCATAATACTTATGTTGCTGTTTTTTTCTATTATCCTAGATCCACATAATTATAATTCACTGATACATTCAAATGATTAAGCTATATAGTTTTTAATTTGACATGCATTGATGATTCTATATGGTTAAAATATCATTTCTGAAAAAATATTATTTCTGAAAAAAACTGAAATGTAATGATTAGTCAAATAAAAATGTTATTAACTTAGTATGTTAAAAAAAGAGGTAAACTTTGAACTTGTTAGATGGAAAGTAAAAGCTTCTGGTAAGAATTAATACAGGAATTCTGTTTTAGCAGTTCTGTATAATATTCAAACACTGTTGATTTGTTTGTGAAATACTTGTATGGAATAGTCTAAAATTATTTTTCTAAATGGAATAATATCTTTAGATACTTGTTCTTAAAGTATTATCCATAAAAACTTTAGCTATATTGTTATATACTATCTCTGTTATATAATTTCTTGATTCTATTGTTATTAATTTGTTTTGTTGAGTATTCACTAATATGTTTGCTTAACTTAGTATCTCACGTTGTAAATATGTACTCCAAGAAGTCTAGTCATGTTCTTGTAACGTCCCCTGAGCTTAATATGTATGTGGTTTATAGAGAATTAAGCTCAACTTTTCCTAAGACTGTCAAATTTGTATGCCAGAGCTAAGAGAGGTGGGGCGAAAGGGAGACAATTCTGTTCACTGTGAAATCATGTTTTGTTGGTTCAGGGAAAGATAACCACTGTAATGGGCTACAGCTGCTACACTGCCTAGATGTGGCAGACATTGATTTGAATAATGAGATTCCCCCTGTGATGCCAAGCCCATTTTAAATTCCATTCTTCAAGACTGGACTTCTGTCTTCTTCAAGATGCAGGCATATCTTTAGATGTCTACTTGAATCATGTTTGTTATTGTTTAACATCAAGATGGGCTCAAAATCTTTGAATGTCTACCGTAATCTTATCTGCTACTCTATACATATCCTTTACAGAAATCAAGTTTAAAACAACAGTAACCTTTAAGCTCAATACACATTTAGTTGTACATTTTGATATTTAAATTTGAAATCTTTAACTGATTACAAGGTTTTGCTTCTTAAATTATAACTATCATTTCCTAAATATTCATTAACTTGTCCAAAAAATCATGCCCTAAATGTTCACTTATACTTCCTACATGTTCTCCAACATTTTCTAAATGTTCACTAATTTTTCCTAATTAATGACAAACATGTAACAGTATCCATGTAAATCCACTAACAATTTCGTGATTCATGACTAAGTTACTGATTGACAAGATGAAACAACCATCACCTACTTATGCCTCATTTAAGTATTGAATGACGTGAATCACCAATGATATCCATTCCCATCAACCCCTGTTGTATCAGGGAGCCTTTCATTACATATTCACTCTGTAATGGGGGCTCCTTTCATTACATATTCAATCTGTAATGGATAGAACTAAATTATTGATCAATTCCCGGCCATTACATTGTTCATGATGTACTGATTGATCATAGTTAAGTAAATCTAGTTCTCATTTTTTTCTCACTCTGGTGCAATAGCGTAGACAGGATCGTCTCATGTGGGGGGGGGGGGGGTTCAAATTTTTACCCGGGGACAAACTTTCTATTTGCACCCCCCTCCTCATACTTTATATATATATCGAGGGGTCTATGGGGGGGGGGGTTATGACCCCCCTGCCTACGCCACTGCTCTGGTGGAGTTCCCCAGTTTCAGGCATATACCAGATGGTCACGACTTGGTCAAATAAATAGAGTACATTTTGTTTTTCGCCATTCTTATAACAAGATAGATGGCCAATCAACCTTTAGTTATCATCTGAAGTATGAAGATGGTTGATTTATTCACTTTTAATGTTGGTTTTTTAGTCAGTTAAGGTAGGGCTGTGTGGAGTCACAACTACACCTGTTTTAAGTACAGTCAAACAGCACTAGGGAAGTAGCAACATGTTTGTCACGCAGATATTTCACCAGATAACTGTGTTTTTACTGAAGTTGTCAGATATTTCACCAGGATAACTGTGTTTTTACTGAAGTTGTCAGATATTTCAGCAGATAACTGTGTTTTTACTGAAGTTGTCAGATATTTCACCAGGATAACTGTGTTTTTACTGAAGTTGTCAGATATTTCACCAGGATAACTGTGTTTTTACTGAAGTTGTCAGATATTTCACCAGGATAACTGTGTTTTTACTGAAGTTGTCAGATATTTCACCAGGATAACTGTGTTTTTACTGAAGTTGTCAGATATTTCACCAGGATAACTGTGTTTTTACTGAAGTTGTCAGATATTTCACCAGGATAACTGTGTTTTTACTGAAGTTGTCAGATATTTCACCAGGATAACTGTGTTTTTACTGAAGTTGTCAGATATTTCACCAGGATAACTGTGTTTTTACTGAAGTTGTCAAGTATCAACTAGGAATTATGTAGGCCGCCTTCTTGTACCAGATTATCCAGTACAAAATGCTTAAGCATAATTTAGCAACATGGGAACCAAGTATAAAATAAATCATACTTGTCTAGCTTTGCATTTTCCATTTTAAGTAACTGGACATTCTAAAGAGTTGATTTCTGTATCATTTACCATTCTTTAAATTCTTTAAATTCTTAGCTACATTTAAAAAGGTAAACATTGTTGCAGCATCGTGTAACTAGATCATTTACCTACTAATTATCTTATTTTTATCGTTAAGTCGCTGTTTTTGACATGGGGGCCGAGTTGCTTGTTGCAGGAAGTTATCTCCCTTTAACCAAAGCAATTTTCTCTGATTTTCTCCCCTGTTCATTCCCCGAGCGTGGTGTTGTGTTCCGGCTAAATTAGATGATCAATTACGATAAAGTTGAATGTGTGGGCGGCAGGCTGACGTCATTGATTTTTGCTGAGGCTATCGTTCCGTGAACTCCAGGGACCAATGATAGGCTGGTAGTTTAGCGGTAGTACTGGACCGTTTTTTTGTTTCAGATCTTTTCCTCTTGATGATTTTTAAACTAGCCGACTGTTTGCATCGACTTGACCACTCTACTTTCTTCTCTTTAACTTGATTTACAAAAGTTTGAGTGCGACTGATATTATAATTGAGGAACCAATTTTACAATAGTATCGAGGGAAAGTATATAAAATAGGTTACCTCAATATAGCTATATCCGGTGAAGATACCAAAGCCCAGTTTTAAGCCCTAAGGTGTTGTTCATGTGACTAGGTGCCAAAATGGGTTGCAAAAAGTAATCGAAAGTTTGAGGGGGGGGGGGGTGCAAATCGAACGTTTGAGGGGAGGGTGCAAATCGAAAGTTTGTCCCCGGGCGCCGGGAAGGGTCGCTACGCCTGTGGGGAGAGGAAAGTATGACCAGACACTTTGAAATTTTAAAAAGGAACTTTTTAAAGAATTCTTAGAAGGCGCAATTGAAAACCTTTTTTTTTTTTTGTAAATTGAACTAAAAATATATTAGTATTATCAGTATACTTATACCTAATATTGACCCAGCTCATTTAATGTGAGAACAAAATTGCCGTTTAAACAAAACGAAACTTGCGGTGAGGACGGGGGAGGGAGGTATGCTGCAGTGTGATATTTTCTAAAGGGGGTCAGACTTTATGACGCGGGGAGCCCAGATGTCGTTTAAAAAAAGCGTGACCCCTAATCTCAAATTTATAGAATAGTCAAAGAGAAAACGGAGTATCGTAGGTGCAGTGTGTCTTCCAGACACTTGATATTTTCGGGGGGAGGGAGGGGGCGATCAACATTTTCAGGGGGGGGGGGGCGGACACTGGTAAAAGTATATGTTTTCTATATAAATTCCATTTCGCTCGAAGAGATGTCTGGAAGAAACTCTGCGTAGGTGAGGTGCTGACTGAAGATATGTAGCACAATGAAATAACGGCTGAGAAACTCAGCTAGTCTCCATCATCATCACCAAACGCCCCCCGCCCCTACAATCAATCTGTATCAGAGGGTCGCTTGGTCTGGTCATCGATTTGTCTGAGAGTTCTGACCTTGGAACTCGTCGGCTGCGTGGGAGTCATAATCATCGTTACCATAATCGTGTGTGGGGGAGGGGGAGATATGATAACAATACAGGGGGAGGGGTACGCCACACAACTACTGAACCACTAGATAAACTTGTGGGAGCGAGTATCTCCCCTTTTGAATGGTACCCATTTATAGCTGCCTGCTGTAGATGTCCATCACTTTGATCATCGTGTAATGACACCCCGCCCCATGTCTATGGTTGGGGGTGAGGGGAGACGCGTATGCCTATCTTCACATGCTCCTTATCTTGACGACAGCAACTAGAAGCTCTACACTGTGAGTCCCCTTGACATGGCCAGGTATTTGTCAGAATTGCTGTCAAACCTGAAACATTTCAACTGCGATTCGTTGTCAGAGACCACCTAACACAAAACATTGAAGAGCACAGAAGATCTAGCATTGTTCACTCGGGGTGTTTTTATTGGTACTGTTCTACTACTATGGTTTTTTTTTTTTTACTTTCTTGAAATCCGAGTACAAGGTGGAAGTATTTTAATATCGAAATCAAGATTTTGACAAATCTCGGCGTTTTACACCTTTCTGGGTGGGAAAAAACGAGGTTTGCAATCTTGTATGTATTGGTGTGTCTCTGTGTGTAAACACGATCTAAAGTAGCGTTTCAGTTAGGTTGATATTTCATATATTAGAATTAGATCCTTTACATAGCCTTCTATAAAATTTTGGTGATTTCCGGTGACGATATATTTTACTTTTTTATTAGCGGTTTCCAAAAAAAAAAAAAAAAACGAGCGGTTTCGTCACACACTTACCCTACCAATTATTTTACTAGCCCAATACCACTGGAAGTGTCCATTCTACATCGATCTACAAATAGACAAATAGACTAGAAAGTTAGGGGAGCTCACTCCCACTTCTTAAAATCTCACTGTTGTAAAGTTAGGGATCGTATTTTGAGTTTATTTTCGACAACTCGGGTCAATCAAGGGAGGCTAGCAAAATCTACTGAAGACAACTCCCGGTTACTTTTTTTTTACTCCCCCCATCGACTGTTTACTTTTATTTGATGACTCAGCTGTTTAGGCCTAGCTCGTATCCACTCTGGTAATATCAAATTATTAATCTATTGTGTGTGTGTATGTATGCGTGTGTGTAGGCTACTAGCATACACGTGACTGGGGGCTCATGTAGCTGTAGTGGACCAATGCAAGCTAGATAAAATCTACATCGATTTCCTGGTCCTATGCTAGATAGAGGAACTTGTAGACGTGTAGCCAACTTGTGTACTGTATTCTGTTTACGGCTTCTGTCCTTATATATTGTTACACATTGACGTGTGTGCTTGCTGCTCATATGACCTTTTTATAACCTGACCCTCAATGGGTTAATGATCCACTTGTTTGGACATTAAGGGTTAATGACTCACATATTAAGACAGAATAGGGTTAATGACTTACATATTACATATCAGAACTGAATAGGGTTAATGACTTACATATCAGGACAGAATAGGGTTAATGACTTACATATCAGGACAGAATAGGGTTAATGACTTACATATTACATATCAGGACAGAATAGGGTTAATGACTTACATATTACATATCAGAACTGAATAGGGTTAATGACTTACATATTACATATCAGGACAGAATAGGGTTAATGACTTACATATCAGGACAGAATAGGGTTAATGACTTACATATCAGGACTGAATAGGGTTAATGACTTACATATTAGGACAGAATAGGGTTAATGACTTACATATCAGGACAGAATAGGGTTAATGACTTACATATCAGGACTGAATAGGGTTAATGACTATCATATTAGGACTGAATATGGTTAATAACCAATTTATTTTGACAGGAGGATTTAACAACCTATATATTATGACAGAAATATTTAATGTGACAGAATGACCAACATTTTGTGACAGAATGGGTTAGGATGTATCTTGTTAGAATGCATGACTTCAACAGAATGCTGCCATCAGACATGTACTAGGCTAGGGACCCTCCCTGTAAATATCAAGTTTACTTGATTAGGGCCCCTCCCTGTAAATATCAAGTTTACCTGACAAGGGCCCCTCCCTGTAAATGTCAAGTTTGACTTAAGATGTCCGTTATACCAGTGAGGCTACACTATGCCACATCCATGTAGTGTCCTTGAGTCCCATCCACTGATGCTATGCCACCCCATTTTAGTGATACTTTACAATGCTCAACTCTCTTTGAGAATATTAATAGTTACCATTTTATACTGTTTATACTATTGCATTGTATTGGATTGTAAGTAATTGTAATAAGAATGAGATCTTGACAATATTGTTACAACTGCAATATTTCTAGTTTTTTGTTGTCTTGACAGAATTACTTCAGGATAGTGCAATAGATGAGAATGTGTTTGTCTCTTGTCTTGACAGAATTACCACAGGATAGTGCAATAGATGAGAATGTGTTTGACTCTAGTCTATTCTTGTCTTGACAGAATTACTTCAGGATAGTGCAATAGATGAGAATGTGTTTGACTCTTGTCTTGTCTTGATAGAATTACTACAGGACAGTGCAATAGATGAGAATGTGTTTGACTCTTGTCTTGTCTTGACAGAATTACTACAGGATAGTGCAATCGATGAGAATGTGTTTGACTCTAGTCTATTCTTGTCTTGACAGAATTACTACAAGACAGTGCAATAGATGAGAATGTGTTTGAGTACCTCAACACCTGCCTGAGCTCACACATGGAGGACGGTGACCTAGTCAACATGGCATTACTTACCATTGGCAGTATTACAGAGTCAGGTAGGAGCTCAGCCCTATTTTTTTACCAGCATGTGTTTGGAAGGCAGTAGCTTTGGTTTTACTTGTGTTTATACCTGTGTTATTATACATCAACATTGAGGATGTGTTGGAAAGGGGGAGTAGCAAAAATCTTTATTTAAGTATCAACATAGAGCATGTGAGCCATATATTCATCAATAGTCAGTATTCTTGTTTTAATCAATTAAATATTAGTTAGTTTGTTGATGGCTTGGTTTGAGATCTGTAATAAGAATTGGGACATTTTTTTTTAAAAAGATTGTGTTGCTAAATAGAAGCAGTTGACCTGTTGTCTTGATTAGGTTTGACAAAACTTAATTTAACTTGAATTTTAAAGAAAGAACACATACAAGAAAAACATGGAATTTTATACATACATTTGACATGTGAAGGATTAGAAGGCTTTAAGTTGGTTCTTATGTTGACTTTTGTTTTCAGACTCAGGGAAGGCCGCAGCCATCAAGTCTGGACTTCTGGACACATTCAAACAACTGCTGGACACATCAGTGGAAGAAAATATTCTGGTCATGATAGTGGACCTGCTGGCCAATCTAACAGAATCAGGTCAGGGGGTCTTCTAACTCATTTTATTTCAGGTCAGGTTGGGTAATTCACTAACTGATTATGTTCAGTCTTATTGGATTTGTTTTCATCTCATCCTTATTTGACTTGTAAAATGTTTATATTTGCATTCATAGAGACCGCTAAAGACATAGCAGCTGAGAATGGACTGTGTCAATGTCTTGTCAACATTGTCAACTCTGATGCCCATGATGCAGAGCTGGTCAAGACAGCCTCTGATGTTTTGGTCTCTATTCTAGTAGGAGGTTAGTTTATGTTGACTTTATAGTGCAGCCTCTGTTTTGGTCTCTATTCTAGTAGGAGGTTAGTTTATGTTGACTTTATAGTGCAGCTTCTGATGTTTTGGTCTCTATTCTATTAGGAGGTCAGTTTTTGTTGCTTTTATTGTGCTAGAAGTCAGTTAATCCACTGCGGATCAATTTTAATTATCCTAGGGGTCAATATCTTTTGCATTATTCCCCCTAGGTTTTACTTACTTAACCCTGCTTAAGGCTAGTCTCATTTTCTTTAATCCAATAATAGACAAACAAAGCCTTGCTCTGCAAAAAAAAAATATGAATTCCATTGTTAATGTAAACAGCATTAGTGTCTGCAATGATATTGTTGTTTACTGAACTGAAATTTGATTCTTAGCTCTTGTGATGAAGAGGTATTCAAAAGTTTTAGCACTATGAAGATTGTATCAGAAAAGAGGTGTCATGGTGTGTAAGGTGCATTAAACTGGTATGGGCTGTACACGACTGCTGTAAGGTGCACCACACTGGTGTGAGGTGCACAAGACTTGTGTAAGGTGCACATGACTGGTGTATGGTGCACAGGACTGGTGTAAGGTGCACCAAACTAGTGTAAGGTACACCAAACTTGTGTAAGGTGCACATGACTGGTGTAAGGTGCACCAAACTAGTGTAAGGTACACCAAACTTGTGTAAGGTGCACATGACTTGTGTAAGGTGCACCAAACTAGTGTGAGGTGTACAGGACTGGTTTAAGGTGCACCAAACTGGTGTGAGGTGCACCAGACTGATGTAAGGTGCACAGGACTGGTGTAAAGTGCAGCTACATGTGTGAGGTGCACCAAACTGGTGTAAGGTGCACCAAACTGGTGTCTCAGTTGAACTGATAGTCATGTGTCTTCCTAGTCTATTAAAAGTTTTTTATCATCTCTTCTTTTATACTACACTGGCTGATTAAAATATATAGAGAAAATAAATAATGAAGAGATTAAGTTGGAGGATGTACTGTGCAGGTAAAAAGGGAGGGTGTACTGGAAGTCCCCCCCCCCCCCCCATCTGTTTGACACCCATTAGAGAACACCTTGTGTTGGAATGTTAAGTGGAACCACCTGTCTAGATGGTGGGAGAGTGAGTTGTTTACCTGAGGTGCCCTGCTCACACAGTCCTCAAGGTGATACAGTCAGGTTGTTGTGGTCAGGTCCTGGCTGCTGTCTCACTTGTAAGCCACTAGCTGGGCTTTTGTAGTGCAGATAGGGTAGGCTTTATTTGGCAGACAGGTTAAGAACATCAATGAATCTCAGCCTTTGTAATTTCTGTATCATATCATAAAGATCTTGCTCCATGTCACATGATCTGGTACCATGTCACATGATCTGGTACCATGTCACATGATCTAGTACCACATTACAATGATCTTGCACCCCTGCAGATAACAGCATGGAGAAGCTGTACATGGGTGGGACAGGACCAATCCTTCTACAGTCTATAGCCTGGCTCTCCTCAGAGAAAGACACCCTCAAGGCTCTAGGCACACTGGCCATTGGCAACTTTGCTAGAAGAGGTAAGTAGAGGTTGACCTTCAGGTACACAGCATCCAGGTGTTGACTTACCTCCACTGTGAAGGTGTGTTGTGTTGACCTACCCCCACTGTGAAGGTGTGTTACCACCTGTGTTGACCTACCCCCACAGTGAAGGTGTGTTGTGTTGACCTACCCCCACAGTGAAGGTGTGTTGTGTTGACCTCCCCCCACTGTGGAGGTGTGTTGTGTTGACCTACCCCCACAGTGAAGGTGTGTTGTGTCGACCTACCTTCCACTGTGGAGGTGTGTTGTGTTGACCTACCCCACTGTGAAGGTGTGTTACCTCCTACCTCCACTGTGAAGGTTTGTTACCTCCTACCCCCCCCCCCCCCCTGTGATGCTGTGTTGTGTTGACCTACCCCCACTGTAAAGGTGTGTTATGTTGACCTACCCTCACTGTGAAGATGTGTTGTGTTGATCTACCCCCACTGTGAAGGTGTGTTGTGTTGACCTTCCCCCCCCCCCCACTGTGAAGGTGTGTTGTGTTGACCTAACCCCACTGTGAAGGTGTGTTGTGTTGACCTACCCCCACTGTGAAGGTGTGTTGTGTTGACCTACCCCCACTGTGAAGGTGTGTTGTGTTGACCTACCCCCACTGTGAAGGTGTGTTATGTTGGCCTACCCCCACTGTGAAGATGTGTTACCACCTGTGTTGACCTACCCCCACTGTGAAGATGTGTTGTGTTGACCTACCCCCACTGTGAAGGTGTGTTGTGTTGACCTACCCCCACTGTGAAGGTGTGTTGTGTTGACCTACCCCCACTGTGAAGGTGTGTTGTGTTGACCTACCCCCACTGTGAAGGTGTGTTACCTCCTACCCCCACTGTGAAGGTGTGTTACCTCCTACCCCCACTGTGAAGGTGTGTTGTGTTGAAATAACCCCACTGTGATGTTGTGTTGTGTTGACCTGTGAAGATGTGCTACTCTCCTGCAGACACCTACTGCCTCCAGCTGGTGGAGATGGGCATCATAGAACAGTTGGTGACCCTCCTCAAGTCTAGTGGGCCAGGACCTGATTCAAGTTTTACATTACAGCATGCAGTGCTGAGTACACTGAGGAATCTGGCTATACCAGGTACTCATTTTCTCTAATACAAATATATGCCACATGAACAGTGTCATGATTTATTATTTTAACATTGTATCATTTCATGCTAAAAAAAACTCACATAAACTGCACAATTATCTTTTTTTGTTACATAATGTTTTATATATACATAATGTCTATAATTAAAATATTTTCAAATGACTAATAATAATACTACCTGTTATGTGAAAATAAATTATAATAAGTTTTTTTACAATAGTCATTGAAAGTTTGAGGTTTTTAAAAAGTTAGAACATGAACTGACTGTAGAATATTTCTAAACAAACTATGGTGTACATTCTCTGTTACCTTTTAGTGGATAACAAGTCTCGCCTGTTTGAGGCCGGAGTGCTAGAGGTCTGCATGAGTCTGATACATTCTGAAGTCATGGCCGTGGTCTTCAAGCTTCTGGGTGTTCTACGCATGTTGATAGAAGGTCAAGGTGAGATGCCTGCTGCACATGTGTGTCATTGTTTTTTAAGTAAATTTTACACCAATTATTATGATACACTGGTTTTATTCCTAAATACAGCTGATCAATGTGCAGTTTATAGGTTTCAAAGTATTAATGAAGTATTGCTGAATTAGATGCCAAGGGAAGTAATAAGTTTCCATTTTGTTATTTCACCATCTATTCCTGGCAGTCAATTTTAATGATTTTTTTAAAGAGAGGAATTTTTTTTAAAAGTAAAGGCAGTGAAACTATTGAAACTATAATCAATCAGAATGTCTTGGCTGATGAATCAGACTTCGATTACAATGAAAATAGATGTAGTTATAGTGCTTTTCCATGTTTTTTAGCACTGTCTAGGTTTGATACAAATTTTTTGAATATATAAATATCATTTCATTATTTAAACTCAAACAAGACTATATTCTTATATAGTCTTATAATGCTTTAATTTTTTTTTAAAGTATTATGGTTCTTGTCATAACAAAAATAATGCTAAAAATTATTTTTTAAAGTTCAGAAGTTAAAAAATTGTGAGATCTTTTTACATACTGAATTTAGCTAAGGTAGAAAGTCTACTTTAATTATCTGTTAGCCTTTTCTGTTCTAGATTTATTTAATCAACCAAATATTTGTATGTGATGATTTTACTGGAGCCCTTAGCCATCTTGTATAAAGTATTCAATTGCCCCATGTTATAATCCCATTAGAGGCTGCTGCTATGTTGTATAAAGTATTCAATTGTTCCATGTTATAATCCCATTATAGGCTGTGGCTATCTTGTATGAAGTATTCAATTGCCACATGTTATAATCCCATTAGAGGCTGTATAAAGTATTCAATTGCCCCATGTTATAATCCCATTAGAGGCTGTATAAAGTATTCAATTGCCCCATGCTATAATCCCATTAGAGGCTGTATAAAGTATTCAATTGCCCCATGTTATAATCCCATTAGAGGCTGTATAAAGTATTCAATTGCCCCATGTTATAATCCCATTAGAGGCTGTATAAAGTATTCAATTGCCCCATGTTATAATCCCATTAGAGGCTGTATAAAGTATTCAATTGCCCCATGCTATAATCCCATTAGAGGCTGTATAAAGTATTCAATTGCCCCATGTTATAATCCCATTAGAGGCTGTATAAAGTATTCAATTGCCCCATGCTATAATCCCATTAGAGGCTGTATAAAGTATTCAATTGCCCCATGTTATAATCCCATTAGAGGCTGTATAAAGTATTCAATTGCCCCATGTTATAATCCCATTAGAGGCTGTATAAAGTATTCAATTGCCCCATGTTATAATCCCATTAGAGGCTGTATAAAGTATTCAATTGCCCCATGTTATAATCCCATTAGAGGCTGTATAAAGTATTCAATTGCCCCATGCTATAATCCCATTAGAGGCTGTATAAAGTATTCAATTGCCCCATGTTATAATCCCATTAGAGGCTGTATAAAGTATTCAATTGCCCCATGTTATAATCCCATTAGAGGCCGCTGCCATCAAGTTGGGACAAGAGAGAGCTTTTCTTGACTGTTTGAGTGACTGGTGTGGGGTGGAAGCCCATGCTGGGGTTAAAGGTAAGAGGTCAGATTTTCTTGCAAAAATATAATAAATACAAATATAATAAGAACTCTGCTTCATCTGTCCAATGGATTGCTAGGCTTAGAGAGGATTCTATCAGGCATCTTTTTAAACTCAATACAACAAAGCTAATTTTTGCTATAGAACACAAAAATTAGTGTTGTCACGCATTTGTGTTCAATGTTTGCCTTTTTCTGATCAGCACAAGACATGGGATTAAGAGTTAAATATGGTATGTCATGGTAATACTGGTTCAAAGTATCAGTATGTTGATTATAAAAATACAAGCCGACCAGCGGTGTAGCTTATGCCTCTATTTAGTTGTTTTATTTTCTACTTTTCAGTAATTCATAATTTGGGAATTCAACACTACCAATGTTGCGACTAAAAATATTTTGCTTTAAAACACTGGAGAGCGAGGAGGGAGTGGTGGGAGGAGGGTTAGAGAGTCTAGAAAGTTATACAGATAGATGTAGGCCTACTGATCATTTGTGTGTTCTAGGGGAAGCAACCAGGGTAATGGCATCCCTGGTAAAGAACAGCAGGTCCTCAGCAGTTATACAGAACCTCATCAGAGCTGAGGGCATCGGACATTTGGTATCTATGGCAACCTCAGAGCATCTAGTCATGCAGAATGAAGCCATATTGGCACTGACCATGATAGCCAGTACAGCACTTGGTATGTAGTGTTTCTCATGCGGAAGTTAATGAGTACTCTGTACATGACTGAGTGACCCTAACCTTTATAGACGTCAACAATGTATGTAGTTTTATTGTACTGAAATAACTCGCAGAGTACTGTGACCTCTAGAAGTGACTCTACATGACTGAGTGACACAAACCTTTAAAGATGGCAACAATGTGTGTAATTATCTCCCCCCCCCCCAGCTGAAGCAGCTATACCACTGAAGGAAGCCAACCTGGCAGAGACCATAGTGACGCTGTTGAAGGATGAGAAGCTGCCTGCGGAGATGGTGTGCAATATTTTTAGTCTCCTCAAGTCTCTCTCCAATGCAGGTAAACATTCACTGTGTTTAGTATATTCTACAACATACGGTTTCAGTTTCAGTGACTGTAAAACAAAGTAGGAGTGACTTTTTTCATACAGGGTGATATGTTTCTACACTCTGCTAGAAAACAAAATGACAGGGTTAGTTAAAATAAAAAATTTGCTTCAACCAATACCTTTTAGTCTAAATCTCATAGCTTTTCAATTTTTTCCTTACTAACCTAATAGAGGATCTATTGAAATTTTGAATACTTCAAACTAGTTTAAAGATTGTTTGCTTAAAGTAGTGAGATCTATCTAGATAAGGGTTTACTGTGTGGCTCTTTTGTATAATGTGACACTTTTAATTAGGGTCATAGTCTAAGAAAAAAAAATTTCATTTGTATAAAACGATTTTCTCTGGAGTTTCTAGAATCTATATCTTATCAGAACTAAACATAACTTTCAGTATCTTAACATTATCATAAATAAATATAACTTTCAGTGTTGCAATAACAAAATTATCAACTACTACAGGTGACTGACCCCTGACACAAACCAATATTTGACACTATCTATAAGGTTACTGACACCTGACATTTAACCATGTCTACATAATGTCCACTGTGTGATCTGGTATTGTTGATCAGCTGCTACTCAGCACATCACATGGTAGTCATTCCTCTTTGAAAAGCCCCTCCCTCTGTCTTAAGTTTTTACATGATTTTTTTTTAGATTTGTATAGATTAACCTTATGATTCTTCCCTGTAACTTATTATCCTATTTCCTATTAGGTTAACTGTACATTTCCAGCTTTCTATAGATTAGTTAACCTTATCATTTAACTCCCCTGTTTTTGTTTATCTCCTTTGATATCTAGTACACCCAACTGTTTAAAGATTTAGCAAACTAGGAATAAGAAAAAAAATGTTTGTTGGATGTTGGTGGTGTATACAAAATGTTAGTCTGGCAAACTGTTGTGACTAACACTGGCCATTATTTCAGCATCCTTGTCTGTGCATCCACCCTGTGCGCTACTCGCCTGCACTGGTCTTATGCCCGACGTTCGCAGTAGGCTCCCTTTCTTTTTTCCTTCTCTTCCTCTTGTTTTTGGGTTGAGACTTCGCGGGCACCATGGTAATATCATCATTATATTTCCACAGTTAGCCCGCACTCTTTGCATCTTTGACATGTTTTTAAATTGTGTGGCCACAATTCAATACTGGCACAAGTTATTTAATTAGATTTTAAAGTTAATTAAAACCAAATGTAAACCTGCCCCTGAAGTCTTTACATGTTGTTCCAACTCTTCCTGTCTCACTCAGTGATGTGTTCATCTTTTTACGTGCATGCTTATTCACTTCAAATAAATATTATTACTGCAGAAAAAATGTAAAGAAATATTTGTTTTCTTTATGTTTTGTCTTTTTTTATTTTTATTTATTCAAAACTTTTTGACTAAGTGAGATAAAGGAATCAATTATAATTTCTGCTTTTTTTTCTATGCTTTATTTTTTTCTATACCTTTAAAAATTATTTGATTCCTTCCCTTTCATCATAAATTTGCTATGATAATATTAGTTTATTATTTGATTGCTTCCCTTTAAACATAAAATGGGTAATATTTATTTAAATTAAATTTTAAAGTAAATAAAAAAAAATTAATTACAAATTTTCAAGAGATAGGAATGTTTGTTCTTTGATGTAGTAAAATCTATCAGTTTTTCTGCTTTGTTTAGGTTTTTTAAGGTTGTCTTAAGGCAAACTATACTCCAAACCTTCAATTTGTCCTTTTATAAAGTCTTGGTAACTTTATAATTATAAAGCAAAAGTAATAATTAATTCAACATCTAGAATTTTAAAAATATCAGTTACTTATAAAAAACTCCATCATTTAAAACCTTGTATTTATTTTGTCAAAAACTAAAATGATTTTTTTTTTAATTGCATCATTTTAGTTTTATTGTTTGTCAAAGTACCAAAAATAAAGTTTTTTAAAATTGCTAGCCTTCTACCACTATCCTTGCGCAGATACACCTGTTTTCATAGATCATTAAAGCACAGCATAATGAAATCAATACAGCATGCCTTAACATGTGATCATTTTGCTAGCCGCTGATAATTTATTTCATGCAACATTTCCACGTACCTATTGATGTTTTAGCTCCTCAGTTTTTATAGCCTGGTGTAACAGGTGTTTGCTAGCTGTTGATATGTTTTCCAAGCTTGCCTGGCTGAGTTTTGTTCACAGTTAATCCTTTCAAATATTGACCCTTTACTGGCTGGTTGTTTTATGTATTCTGTATGTTTCAATGTTTAATCTATACTTGCCTGGGAGACTAGAAAAAAAGATGTTAGCCCAATTGATTGAAAAGCTGACTCAGTAATGATTTCTTCTTGTTGAAAGAGTTTGTTATTACTCCTTATGAGCATAAATCTTCAGCTACTGACCATTTGTTATAACTAATATTCAATTAACCGGCTAAATAAGAAAACATTTGTATTCTTAATTAATGAAGATAATTCAATTATAATACTTTTTTTTAATAGAGAGAATGATTATTACTTCTCATTCAAACAGTTCCTATTTTGTAATTAATTGAATTCTCCTAGTTTTAAGCACTTGTAAAGTTCTGACTGTGTATGTGACTATTACTTAATTTTTTCCCAGGAAACCTTCAAGAAGAAATTTTAACCTCAGGTGTGATAGACCTGGTCCGATCTGTAGGTGAACGTCACGCAGACCAGAGGGTCAAGGATGCAGCAGTGTCCACACTGCATTTATTAGAAGAGTCCATGATTTGTAGCTGAAAATGTTCCCCTCACTCTTGCTGAATTCTTGATATAACTTGTGTTCTAGAAGCATCTTATTGCTTGGCATTCCTAAATTAGGTCAGTGTGCCCAGTGTTGGAACGTACTTCCTGTGCTGCCTGCAAAATTAGCTGCCGTAAAAAAAAAATGTATGTATAGCCAAGTATCCAATTTTGGTTTATTCAGAGAATATTTGTTTGATTAGACAACACTGTCTAAAAAATGTTCTGTTTGATGCTGTCATTCCATAAATTAATAATTTTTTTATTGTAATTATTGGACCATGTCCAAAAAAACTGACGACCTACAAATTAAGTTGTTTGATTCATGTAGAAAAACCATGTTTTTTTTTTAACATTACGTTGATTAAGATATATTTTATTGTCTATGCATCTTTAAAAATGTTGCATGTTTGGTTGTGTGACTTTGAGGCTCACAGTGTAATAGAACATATATTAACATCTTGAGTGTGTTGCTGTTAATTTTTCCTCATCAAATGTCAATGATTTTTTAAAATTTAAATGTAATTTTGAAGGAAATTGAATCTTCTGAAACCAAAAAATTGTAAACTTACACTTAGTCACTACTTTACCATTGTTTTTTTTTTTTACCTGTGGAACTTATTTATCAAAGTTTGTATGAAAATCTAGTATGACTGCTTATTTTTTTAAAAAGCTATAATTAATTTTTTGTTTAAATCCTTTCTAGTCATATGATGGAGAGGTTCAAAGTTCCTATGTAATGTAGTGGCTGGACATGTGAGGTTTGAAGTTTTGGTTTTGTGTGCAGCATTTGCCTGATACAGTGGACTAATCAGCATTAGAACTATTTGTGTCTTAGTAAGTCTAGCAGATCAAACCTTGGCAGTGAATAGAAAGTTTGACAATTGAAGGCCAGGCTTAGAAAGTCTGGCAGGCCAAAGTTCAACTATCCTGCAGTGCATTTAGCATAAAAATGTGTCAGGCCTTGCTGACTTTCAAATGTTTGGCCATGCTGATGTGTACAGTTGTTGACATTTTTCAAGTTTCTGAATTTTTTTTTCTGTGCCAATTTATAAATCACAATAAATGTTTGTGTTTGTTATAAACTTTGATGTCAAATTTCTAATGCTTGGGTGTTTTTCACAAGTTCACAGCTGTTTGCTACAAGTGCTTTTTATGCCCTGTCTCTGTATCATTTATAAATTTAGACTTAGATGGTATTTGTGATAAAAACATGATTATTTGTTACTGTGTGGTCAATTTTCATGCAGATGACATGCATATTAGCATCCATTTTATTTTCTCCTTTACTGTCTGTTTTGTTCTTCTGGGACCATAGAGTTGCTCATTAGTTTTCCAGATTTTTTTGTAAATGCAAAGTGTTTTGTGCCTTAAGAATTTCAAGACAAAAAACACTCAAAATCATTCCTTTTTTTTTCCCATTCAAAACATGCACAAGATCCACCAGGATAGTAGAATAAAAAAGATATTTCTGTGTAATACTTTTCTGTATTGTTGAAAATTAGATCAGTGCAGGGGGTCGGTGTGGTTGCGCAGGAGACTGTTTGATTGCTAACTGCAATAGTGCCGAGTTCAGACCCTGAGCAGATGAGGCTCATTAGCAACCCATCTAGGAGAGAAAACTCCAAAATCAAACGATAGCTGTCTTGTTTGTTCTTGGGTTGACAAAGGCTATGGAAGCAAATCCATAAAGAACAGTAGGCTTAAGTCTGGGGAAAACAAGCCATATGATGCATAAAATGGGGGAGAGTTAGAAGATCCCTGCTGCCCAGACCATTTGACCCATGTAGTCTCACATCTTCTTATACATCTGAGTTTAAACTTGTCGCCACCTTCTTTGAATGATTGTCAATGTCAGGTTTTAAATTGGTCTTCCACATATAACATGTACCAGCTTTCCATTAACCATTTAGTTGAAACGACTTTAGTTGCACATCTGGGTACTAGACACTTGTCTTGCATGAATTTTCTTTTTTCAATTGTCCAACCTCTATGAATTTTATAAATACTAATGATGTTTATTTTTGTGCAATACGGGCTTGAGCAAAGTTGTTTTCCAAATTGAACATCACTTTTTCAATCTTGTTTTCTTGTCATAAAGGTCACAAACTATTTTTTTATGATGGTCACAAAACACTAAATGATGGACAAATGTCTTTTTATTTTTTTAATTAAATTTGCTGTTTCAAATAAACTGTCATGGCAATCTGCTTTAGCATTTTAAAGCATTTGTCAGAAGTTTTGCTTTTAGAATTAAATATAATTCATTGTCATTTTTTTTTCTTGCAAACATATAGAATCTACTATTATACTATATTAAATACAGTTTTATCCATAATTAATTAATAATAAACTTAAAATGAGTAGATCTAGACTCTAGACCTTCATAAATTTAAACACCAGTGATTGTCATTTTTCCAATTATTTTTACTTTTAATAAATGTAAATTAGTATTAAATTATATTAGGCCTATTGTGTTCTAATACTATGAAATTATAAAATATTCAATATTGATTATTATTCATCAGACATCAAATCATTAATATTATTTTTAATATTTAGAATTAGAATCAATAAAATTATTAAAAGTTGACTTCAATTTGAATATTAACTAAATTTTAGCCTCTTTGCTTCAGCTGCTTGGCCAGTTGATTTTAGATTTTTAAAAGTGTTTATAATGAAAAGCATTAGATGTGATAACATAAACAAATTTGGCTTATTGTTAAACTGGTTTTGTTTAATTAAGCTTTCACGAGCCTTTGTATTATTGTGTTGTGCTTTGATCGTTGCCTCAACACTCTGCAGGTAAAATACAATGGCCAGATTAAATGGTAATACAACATGCCATATAAAATTAGTCTCATGTGCCAAATCTGACGTTTAAAGTAATTCTCTCTCGACTTGTAGAAACAATGATGTCAACGTGTATGTGTTGTTTCGCTCTTACAAATTCCATGTGGAAAATAAACTTTTTTTTCTAGCATCAACATCTTGTCTTTTAATTATTTGTAAACATGTTTTAGTTATCATTTATATTTAATATCTATTAAAAACTTGTTGGGTTGGCTTTGTATTCGATTTGTATTTATAAATTAAATAGGACAGGGAATACGCCAGTGTTTCTTCCAGACTTTTTTTTCGGGGGGGGGGGGGGCGGACACTGTTAAAAGTATATATTTTCTATATAAATTCCATTTTGTTCTGGGGGGGGGGGGGCTGTAGACGTCTTGAGGGGGGGGGGCAGTCCCTGAAGAGATGCCTGGAAGAAATTCGGGAATACGCCAATAACGCCATGGTTTGATACGTTAAGAAATATTGTATTGGGGTATGTTACATTTTGGCCAAACTCAGATTTCCTACTACAGACTTTTATGCCTTTTAAAACCAACTTTTCACTTTGTACAATTGTTGAGAATCCAGATCTGAGATGAAGCTCTTTAACTTCAGGGGGTCTATGGTTTAATTTCGTCCATAAATGACTTCGCACTCGTAGATGGGGGGGGGGGGGGGGGGGGGCTCCGTAATTTTGTTACGGGGGGGGGGGGGGGTAATAGATAATGTGACGTCAGACTTTTGCATTATAAAAAAAATAATGTTAGAAAACATAATTAAGCCGTTATTTCGCGTTTTAGATAACTGTTGTAACAATGAATTATAATATAAATTTATTAAAATAGTCTGTTGACCTAGCTATGAGGAGATTTAAGTTAATTATCGATATTTTAAGAGAAATTCAACTGCAATTTTTAGGTGGCCCCAAAGTGACTGATTCTAGGGACAGATTAAGTAGGTCAGCGTTTTTTTTTTTCTTTTAAATAACTATTTTTGCGTCCACCCTATGGTCACAAAAAGACAGACATCCCCCCCCCCCCCTTAGTTAAAATTACTTTTTAAAAATTGAAACCGTTTTCTTTCTAAAATATTTACTGAACTTGGTCAATATGGCTATTTTATTTAGGGTTGCCAGGTGTCCAGTTTTGAACTGGACAGTCCAGTATTTGAGCAGACTCTCCAGGATAAAATAAATATAAATACTGGACAAGTATATGAATAATACTGTTACCCCCCTTCTTCTGCTTTGCGGCATACCTGAGAAGGGAAGGATGGAAAGGTGTCCAGTATTTTCGGAAAAGGTATCTGGCCAGGGGCGGAACTACAGTGCCGCCAGACCCCGCAATGCGGGGGGGGGGGGGCCCACGCCATTTAGGGGCCCACGGCCGACCCTAATAGTTTTTATTATAGTTTAAAAAATCTAATTTTCTTGCAATTTTTTACTTGATGTTTGTTTTGTAAAACGATTACCATAGCTGCGGTTTGATTATCTTTATTCTATAGACACCATATATTCTTGTATATTCTTTTTCCGTTTCTTTTTAAACCACTGTGAAAGCCAAGTCCTCTCTCCTCTACAATTAAACTTAACAAAGATAAGGAAACGTTCAAACCACTTCCATGACTTATTTCTTTTTAAAATAGTCAAATTGGGGTGCTCATAAGCTCCTTTTAATATAATTGTTCTAAACAAATTAAAAAGCAATTACTTCTCTTACTAAATATTTTTTCATAAAATACTTTCTAAAGAATGACCTTTGTATAAAAAGGAAATGTATTTAAAATTAATAATATAAATACAAAAAAACATAAAAATAATCACAACACGAGACACCATTACTTCTACAAAGATTTTATGTTTTATATTCTTTTGACCAGTTAGATGTTAAGAGAATCCATAACAGATAAAATGAAAACTGATTTTCTCAAAACACACTAAAGCACGTGCACACATGACATGTAGTAATTTGTTTTAATTGAAAAAAACCCATTTTTTTTTCAAAACCTGAACAGGTCAGCAATGAGCATCCTATGCTCTGCTCGTATTTTGTGTTTATATATATATATATATATATATATATATATATATATATATATATATATATATATATATATATATATATATATATATATATATATATATATATATATATATATATATATATATATATATATATATATATATATATATATATATATATATATATATATATACATATACATATACATATATATGGGTGGGGGGGGGGGCCTAAAATTTTTTTTGCGGGGTGGCCCTTTTTTTCTAGTTCCGCCACTGTATCTGGCAACCCTAATTTTATTTGAACTATACTACAAATTACAAAAACGTTTACAAACGCGAAATAACGGCTAAATTTCTGTTTCGACAATATCTTTTTTAAAGACTGACCCCCCCCCCCCCCTACGAGTGTATCCCGTTGGGCGTCTTGACTTTCCTCGAATTTAGTGACCTACTCACCGTAGCTGGAACCGAACTCGACCACAGTTTTTACAAATAGGTCAACGTGTGCTCGATCGTACAGGGGAAAAAAATATCGCAGTATTTTCACACCTAGATCTAGCTATCTCAACTAGAATCTATCTGTATTGCAAAAGTCACTTACCGATGACTGAATCATTGCACCTTGCTATCTGTAGAGCTAAAAATTACCGATGACAATTGTTGCTTTGGTCGGGAGTTGTATTTATAACAGTGTAGCACTGAATTCAAATGTTTGTTTTTGATAACACAGTACGTGTGTAACATGTTAGATACACTCACAATTCAACAAGTGAACTGTTTTGATACGTGACCGTGTTACTGCGTGATAGCTGCCCAGTGTGACGTCAGTTACAAGACCTACGGAGTTATTGACACACTTTTTGAAATGTAAGATTGATTCGAAGCTCGGAATTTCATTTTTTTTAAAGAGGCGCTGGTTGGGCGATTAATGGGTTTTTTTACTTTCTTGATCGGATTCAGAAATGTAATTTGGCATAGTTCATAACTGTAGTGTATACTAACACTACCAAACAATCGTGATTGAATATGTTTTTGTAAAGAAATCCTTCGCATTTTGTAAACATTTGGTGTCGAATCCGCCAGTAATACAGCCTCCTGGGGTGGGGCCAGTGCTTCTTGCAGACTTTTTTTCTCCGGGGGGGGGGGGGGGGCGGTAGACTTTCTTCGGGGGGGGGGGGGGGTAAAAAAATTTCCCCGAAGAGATGCCTGGAAGAAACTCTGGGTGGGGCTACTGGATATATTCTTTACTATTCTGACAGATAAAATATAAACAGTTTGCTGGGGGAAAAACAGCGATCAATGACCTTTAACTTAAATCTCAGCCACTGAATTTGGGGCTGCATTCATGAAACATTCTGCAAATGCAAAGACAATGCGAGTAGAGAATCGGCAAGACCCCCCCCCCCCCCTCCATATATTGAGATGTAGGGCCGATCATATGGGTGTTATCTCAAATTTTCTGCCATAACTACCCACAGTCGTTCAGTTAAGACAAAGACACCTACCTAACCAAACCATACATTTTTCTTGTCTAGTTTATCCACCTACCTAACCAAACCATAAATTTTACTTGTCTAGTTTATCGTTCAGGCTTTAGTACTTTTCACATCTTGTAGGCAGATACCTTGAGTCTCCATTTATCTGAGAACCACATGTAGTGATTTAATATGGACACCATGAACAAACCAAGTTTCAAGTAACAAGAAAAGCGTGTTTTAAGTTTGAATATTTGTCTAGATTTATTGGCTTAAGATCATCACATAGACTGGGAGCTGAACACTCGCCCACTGCATCAGTTGTACACAGCGCTACAAGCACTGTGCTCAACAACAAACGAACAAAGATTCTTTACATTTTACATCAGTTTCAAAAGAACAACAAAACAAAAACAAAAATTAAATACAATTAAAAAAACATGTCTAAAACTGAGTTATTTAAAAACATGGAACCCAGATAGTGTAATGTACAGAAATCACACAAAACAAACATTCTCCACAATTTGTGTGTGGGGTACAGACAAAGCTAATCAAATCATCATATGCAAATCTGGTTTCATTCAGACAATGGATGCTCAGTGGGGATCAAAGAAATTCTGTCTATTAGATTCTAAATGAGTGAGTGATCATTTTTACAGGACATTCAAAGGCATTTAAAAGGGTCTGACTCCTACAGTAAATACTTTTAATAGTTTTTTTAAACAGTTTTCTTTTAAAAATCTGAAATATAATATACAATACCCATTTTGTTTTGACATAAAAACCTGTTTGCACTAACAATGTTACTGAGGCAGAGACCAATTTTTCAACACTACACTGTTGCTTCCTTCCATACATATACAGAATATGTTATGTGTTCAACTAATTTTAACAAACATTACAAAGAGAAAAATAGAAATTTCATTCTCAAGTAGCGGGGAGGATTGTTTTAAAAACGTTTTGTACAATTCTGCTGTTTAGTATACGTATTAGTTTAAAAGACATACAATGACTATTTCATACATTAAAGTTATAATACCAAAATGTCTTATTAAAGCGTTCTACTGGGGAACAATGAAAAACTAACTCATGTCGTGTCGGTCCAAATCAAACTTAAATTAATCCTCTATTCAAATCCATTCATATTCGTGATAGTCATTTCAAAACTGAAGCCAAGTATTCTAGTACATTAAAAATTTCTGTTTAAAAATATAATGTAATACAATTAGGTAACCAAAGAAAATTGAAAAGTGCCTTATAAAATAATTTCAACAAAAATAAAATTTGTATACCTATTTTTAAATTGTTACAACTTTTGAGATAAAATATTTGATTATTAAATATGCCTTTGAAGAACACTAAGTATTAAGGAGAGCCATTCTGGTTGTAATGATAGAATGAAATAGGTTTAGATGGAAACAGGAAGAGTCATTCTTTGCACAGGATCTGTTTCGAATAGGTCAGAACAATTTCTTTAGCACTGAAACATAAGACAGGCAAGGAAATTATGGGATGGAAAACTAAAGAGTCAGAAAGAAAAAAATAAATAAATTAAGCCTTATATAGAAGATATTACAAAGGTGAGGGAGCAGGTCACAACGACCTGCCCCAATACTGTAATTGTCACAAATCAAAGCTGTACACAGGTCAAGGAATAAAAACAAGGTCATGTGGTCATCAAAAGGTCATCTTGTAAATCAGGGAGGGAGGAGAGGAAAAAAAAGATAAATACAAAATATTGGTTTCATATGCAATAAATTAGCCAGATAACGATTGAAAAACATGTTGAATCAATTAACCAAATGATGAGTGTACACACTGATCAGTGTACATGCTGATAATTGTACACATGCATATGTCAGACAATCAGTCGCTTTGTACAAAGTGTTTTTTATTTTCACAACCAGACTTAATAGCATCAGCCCTCTGACAGATTCCCCCCTACCACTGCTGGACATTTGTGTTCCCTTGCATCTTTTGTTTCCCACTTGGGAAGATTGAAATAATAGAGATAAATTCTACAATTATTTTGTCTTTATTTTAAATAGATCTGTGAATTATAACCGTAACAAGGTTATTACCCTCCATCAGTTACAGGAAATATTAAGTTACAACTGTTATCTTTGTGTAAAGACTATTCAATGCATTTTTTTAAAACTTAGTTTTACTATTATTTACGTTAAACAATAAAAGTATCTTATTTTCGTAAAAATCGAACTAAAATTTAAAACATTTTTAAATAAAAGATGAGGCTACTAACAGCTATACTGTTGGAAGTTGGTTTTTCTTTAAAAGACCTACACTATGTAAGTTTTAAAAAAGCAAATTAATTATCTGCAGACATAAACCAGAATTTAAAAAAAAAAAGATAATTGCACAGCTTGTTGAGGAGACAAATCATTCAAAAATCGATTGCATAAAATGGAGAAAAAAAAAAATTTACTGCACTTTATTGTTTCTGCAGCTGGTGGTTGCATTCAGATTAGGGGGGGGGGGGGGGGGGAAACTAAAAACATGATAAATTAGGGAAATAGCTTTTGAAACAAATCATAATTAAACCTGGGAGAATATCTAAAAACATGATAAAATTTAAATGGGGAAAATAATTAGAAAGACAATAGTATTGTATATGTTTTACCATGCTGTTGAAAGTATTTAATTCCAGGGAAACAGTGCATGCCAGTCCTTGATTGTAACAAAGCTTTACTCAATGCTTGCTTGCAGTGGTTTAGAGCACTAGGGGCTAGGCTCAGAAATTTATAGGATTGTTAAACAAAAGATGATTTTATTTGAATTGAATCCCTTCACACACAGGATTTTTTTGTTCTTTTACTGACAAATTTTAAAAGATATCTAAAAATAAAGAAAATGTCTGCATATAGTATTGAAATTCTGCAACATTTTGGTAATATGTCTGAGAAAAGATTCCTTCTCATCGTCAAAAATGCTATTTATTAAACAAATACTTGTATCTCTTCTTATTCCATATAAAAATTCCAACATTTTTTAAACATTTATTTAAAAATTAACTTTCTTATCAGATTTTGATAGATTTAAAGTAACCAAACCTTTTTATTTAAAAGAATGGGTCAGTTTAAAAATTCACAAATGTCACCGTCCTTTAAAAGTATTTTGATTTAAAAAATATATATAGGACAGACTGAATTGCTTATCGTGTCCAAATTTTCTAAACACTAAAATAACTCAACCAACGTTTATCATCATAGATATATTTAAAATTTGTTTTAAAAAAGGAAACAGATATTGCTATGTAATTTGCTAGTTGGACAACAAATAGTAGAATAAAATCAAAACATTGATAAAATCCTGTACAAGACATTCATTTACAGATATTGTAGATAATATGTATAGATATTTAAAATAATGATAAAACTTTGTACAACAATCATGTAACACAAGAAAAAATGGTTGCCTGGATGGCCACTGAGAGCCAAATTTAAATACTTTTAAAATAAATGTTATGAAAACGTGATGATAATAAAATGTCATGAGAAATTCTGATATGATAAAACCAATGTATAAACATAGATCTTTGTGATGAACTTTCAGGTGACTGGGATGATGAAGTGCTGTTGTGATTTGCTGCCTAGGAACCTACCAGTTCCATCAGTTTTTTTTTTAAATTTAGAAGTTAATTTGTTAGCCAAATATTTAACATAAAGCACACACAAATCCTTCAGTACTGAAAAATAAAATTATTTTTTTTACAGTAACAAAGAAAAGTAAATCTTCAACTGCAGTGAATATTTGATTAGTAAATTTATATAATGAAAATACATTGCTATAAATACTCTCTACATTAAATACTATTTAAATATTTTATGCTTCTTGCTTTTGACAATAAATATTAAATATAGCCGAGTGCACTGTCTTTAAAGTTACTGAATTATTTATTAAAAAAATGGATTCTCTTGATTGTTATTCTTGCTATTCCCTGAGCTTTATACATAGCAGAAAAGTTATATTCATAATCTAATAAAGTGTCTGCGGACACTTAAATTTTATACACACATTTTTTTTAATGGCAAAAAAGTTATATTAAAACTTTTGAATACTATTTCTAATTGCTATCGCTTTTATTTTCAGTTGTAAGACTTGTAATATGAACTGTCTATTTAACAAAATTTTGATGAGGTAATGAAATGACTATAGTGAAATTAATCAAATGTATACAGCAAAACAATCTGCTCTTAAAACAATTACTTCATGTTTTAACTGCACATCAGCTATTGCAATTTATTTCTTTATTCCTATTTAAACTCATTCCTGAATTTTAAATATCAATACAATTACAATACAGAATAAACACTATAGAATCAGATGAGCTTTGCTGAATTGATATTACACTTGAAAAATTTTTTAAAAATTTAAACAGTTTCTAGTGAGAGATCTTTTAATCAAAATCTGAATATATAGCACATTACGTTTATTTAATCCTATGCTGAAAATTTTTAAACAGTGCAAGTAGTTGCTATATTTACTGTGATCAGATCAAATAAATGTTAATTGTAAATCAATTTAAAGTGAACAGTATAATAAATTTAATAAACTGTTACACAGAAGGTTATTCAAACTCATTTTAGTTTGCCATTGCATTTAATTTATATAGTTCATCATTCTAAAATTAACTATATATATATATATTTATAATATATATAGTCCAAATCAAAATGACTGTCTTTTAGATTAAAGTTATGTTTTAAACAGCAATTTTATTTCTCCTTACACATAGCCAACACAATGAGATTAGTTTCAACAACAGGTCATCCAACTAAGAATTGTTTATATCCCAGCTTTAGTCTGTTTCAAGTAAGTAAGGAGGACTACAAATATGTAACACACTCTAAAAACTGTTCCACATTTTAAAAAATAGTTTTGGAATCTTGAGCCATGGGCTCTCACTCTTGCGAATACGAAGATAAGTAATTTAAAGCAGAACCCCCTTTGTCTAGTCCCACCTTGACGAAGGATGAAAGCACTTTTATCCATATGTGCATATTTAAAGTCTGATTGGTGATTGTAGTACTTGTCATTTTTTTGATTGGTTAGCAGGGTGAGGGGTGAAAATCTGCTTGCGAGGTTGTCAAGTACAAGTGAACCAGCAGAATACTTGTCCCTGGCGATATCATTGGTGGCACAGAGCTGTGAGATTCACAACTGTGATAAAAGATCTCAAGTTTTAACATTTGCTAGTTTTTTTCTCAGTCTTTCCCCAGCCTTGAAGGCAAGGAGGGTGTTTTAAATCTCCTGTTGTAAAGTTAGCTTGTTGTTTGGTAGCATTATACTCCATGGCTACTGAATGAAATCACAACAGTTTCACAATCACTTGCAGTGGCTCCAGCAGAGACAGGCATGTAATCCAGTGAATAATCCCTACAAGTGTACAAGGGTTGATGGCTGTTGACAAGCCAGATCAGGAGCCAAACCATGACAGTTTTCATGGGGTAGGCACTTCACCTATGCGAAGATGAATGTAGAATTTGTACTCTTGGCTTCTACTGCATGTGCCTTTATGTCAGGTTGATGATGGGTCAGTAATAAGGTCAGTCTCACTTTGGTTTTAGCTTGAATTTTTTGTATTAAAATAGCTTCATTGCCGAACAAATGTGTTGCTCACTGGGCGATGGTTTGAAGAAATGCATAGCATCTCACCACGGACTATCAAGTAAATACAACCACGCTGCAACACTCAAATCAGTGGGCAAATGAAATGTCATTTGTGACGGTGCCAAGTTCTGCTAACAATCAAAAGTAAGCCTGAGACTTGCAGCTTCGACTGGCAAAAGTCTTCAGCAGAACTGTTGGGTCAGGTTGATGAAAGAACGTTTGCTCTAGTTCTCAAACAAAGCTAACAGGTCATCCCCAGTGCTAGAAGAGTTCTGTCCATTGTCGCCCGTAGAATCTGAGGGTCCCAAATACGCAGTCAATAACTCCATATCACTGAGATTGTCTGCCAACAACTGAGGACACAGTGAAATTTACAAATTAATTTCATCATAATCTGCTATTTCAAAAAATTAAAACTTCTCTATTATAAAAATATTTCATATCTAAGACCTAAATTGAACTTAGTATAGTACTTAAATATATAATCCTTTAAGACAAGGTACTGCACGAGAAAAAAAAATGGGGAGGGAGGAGTATGACAAATTAAAGACTAAGGTTAGCAACTTAAGTAAAAAGATTTTGATTCAAATTAAGTGTGAAGAGCCCATTGGAAATTACTTACATCAAGCCCCTGAGCAGCACTCGTGTCTCCATTAATGATTGCTGTTGGGTCAAAGTTCAGATCCCCTAACGAATGACAGTCAGTTGGTAATGAGCTGTTCATACTATTGTTAGAGATACCATTACTTAGGTTGTTGTTGCAGTTGTTGGGGGTGGATGATGTGTTGTTGTTGCCGGGGGATGGGTGGGATAAGTTGCTGAGGCTGCCGTTCTGTGGATGAGGTTGTGATGATGGACGAGGGGTCATGTGATTGTTGCTTGGGGGTCTTGAGGGGTCTGGATGCCTTAAACCCTGGCTCATTGGATCTCCTGAAATGATTAAAAAAAAACCATAAGTACTTATAATTTAAGGTTTTGGAACATAGAAAACTACATTTGTTTTCAATAAATCAATTAAGCTCATGTATTCTTATTTTAATGAAAGCACGTATGAAGAAATTACTGTAAAAATTTCAAGAACTGACCAGGTGTAGATGGGGGTGGAAGGTTATAGGGAGATGCCTGAGGTCCTGCATCCCAAGATGTCATTGTTGGCAACTGCATACTCGATGGTGACATAGCCTTCATCCAACTATTTTGACAAGAATCTGGATTTCCTGAAAACAAATTTCAAATATTTATAGATACAGTGAATGCAAAGTTTTAAAAAAAAAAAACATTTACAAACATGTACAAATTAACAAGTTTTAAAATATTTATAGATACATTGGATATTTTCTTAAAAGATGCTATTTGAAAAATTATTTAAATTTTTTTAATATATTCAATTATAAATTAACATAATGTTCAAAATTTAAACTTTTTCATATCAACCAATTATTTTTTTTTAAAACTGGCTTTTTAATATAGCATTATGATATAAAAATAAAATGTAGGGTTAATGTTAAAAATGTGAACAAAATGTTTGATGAAGCAGTAACTAGATAATACAAGTAAAAAAAAAAAGCAAAATGTTAAATTACAACTGTATACATATAAAGTTGAATAACAATGTTTTTTAAATATATCTAATAAATGTTAGTTAGTAGTGGTGTTAAATGGGTTAACGTTGCGAAATGCTCTGTCAATGATAATTTCATGTTCTAATACCGATCATTTGAAATAAGAATCTTTTTTTCCCTCTTTATTTTAGCTAACTATTTTTTAAACCAAGCTAGACACACGATTGACATCCACATTTTGGGTGAGCTTACTTGTTGGTTAGGGTTTTAGCGTGAGTTTAACGCTAGGTCAGCAAGTAAACACAAGGAATTGTTCTAATGACATACCATACAGGAGACTAGGACAGCTGGACCTACCACTATCTTCCTCTTTGACCATAGATTTGATAGGGACAGGCTTCCAGCTGGCTGTTTGGTTGATGGTCACCTCCTCAAACTGTTGATTTGTCATATTTGTTAAAATGCCCCAGATGTACTGGTCAATTTCCAGGCCTTCCAGCAGTGCTGATTTACTGCAGGTGAATAAACACGCTCTTTAAGCATTGGTTTTACATAACTTGTATCAAAATACCCAATTAATATTTTAGCGGTAGATTCAAAACAAAATTATGCATCAAATATCTTACTTGCACACTGGGCACTTCCATAAGCCTTTGTCACAATTTAGCTGTAGGTAGGATTCAAGGTCGAAACACTGTAAAGAAATGTTTAGTTGTATTAAGCTTTACATGACAATAGAAGACAATACTAACTTAAATATACAAAAGATGATAGCCAAATGTTGGTCAAAAATCAAACCAGTGCTACCTGTATGTGTTTACAGTCATGCCCTCTAGCTGGTAATGTTATTCTCCGGCATGTGATAGGACATTTCAATGGTACTTTAATTGCTGTTTGTTCTACCCCATCTTCTCCATTCACTGCATTGTTAGGTGGGACATTGGAGAAATTTCTTTTGACTGGAAAAATTAAAAATTGATGATTATAAAAAAACAGAAAATTATTTAGTTGTCAATGTACATTTTAAATTGAAGTTTAATTCTTGAAAATTTTGTATAAATTATGATAAAACAAAAGACTCACTTTTTGTGATACAGTGTTCAGCAGGTAACAAACGTTTCCGCAACAAGCCTTGTAACACTGATCTGATACTCGGCCGGTGGACTAGTTGAAGCACAAACAGGTGAGACTGTAACAAGGGAAATAAAGTTGAGTTTCTTACACTTCTTGGTTTTTGATACAATCAATACATCATGTTGGGGGTGGTCATGTGGAGGGTGGAAATAAAGACTTACACAGCAGCATGCAGTCACTGTGATCTGTATGGTGTTGCGCCCTGCTTGGCAGACTTCCTTGAGGTAAAGTGGTTTATGTGTTGATTTGTTGTCACCCCTTTCAATGTTCAAGGGTGTGGCATTGACGCTGACCGTGACAGATGCTGGCCAGTTGGTACTCATTTGACGGTCTTCATGATGGAAGCATTTTAATTGCAGTTCAAGGTCAGATCTGAGAGTGTAAATTTTTTGTTAAAAATATTAAATTACACAGCAGTTAATGAAACAATCTAAAATGTTTACTTCTGTGAATTAATTAATTTGGACTTAAGACTGAGCTATTTTAGGTCTCACCTGTACATAAGTGTGTTGTACACTGTGTCTCTCAACTGGAACACATGGTTACTAACTGCCAGATTGTGTTCCAGCCGAAATGGAGGTAAGACAACTCCATCTCTTACAGGGAATGTAAGCCGTAATTCGTCAGGACCTTTCAAAACAAAAATCAAATATAATAGGTGAAAAGTTTTACTAGGGGTTTTAAAAAGTTTATTTAAAAGATAACATTTCCCCACCACAAAGACTCTAAACTTCACATTATGTCAATTTATAAATAACTTTTCCTTACCATAACCAAAACTTTAAGTTTATCTGAGGTAAACATGTGTGATGTAATACTTACTTGATTTGACAACCATGGGTTTTACATCCGGTGGATAACTGGGTTTCATATCACCTGGATAACCTGGTACTGACCCGGGTGTGATTGGTGGTGTTGGGTTGCCAGGTATGGGCGAGTGTGGGAAGCTATTGGGCTGGAAAAATTCATTGAAAAATTCAAGTATTGGCTATTTAAACTTAAACCATACCATAAACTAAGTTAACCGTTGTAATATATAGCAGTGAAAGTATTCTCTGAATAAAGATGTTAAATAAAGCCAGGTATTGTTTTGGCTCAAATAAATATATAAACACTAAAGCAATGTTTCTTACTGTTTGCCCAGGGTATTGGCTATAGTTTGGCGTTGGGCCTGTAGGTCGCTGGGGATGACCGTATTGCCCTTGCGTCATGTACGGGTGCTGACCATTGGGGTATGGTGAAGGTCCTCCCTGCCTCATCTGTGTCATGCCCTGGGGCATCACATACGTGGGGGAGGGTAGGGGCTGCTGGGCCGGAGGGTAGCCAGGCTTGCCTGTGTATTGCTGATGTGGCATGTAGGGGCCATGTGGGCCGGGACCACCAGAGACAAACTGAAACATCAAGCACACTGTGTTAGAGCATGACAAGCTACACCACCAGTGATGTATACATTGGTAAACTGCTGGCTACACAACAGCTGTTGGCCTGATTTTATGAATTCATTAAACAAAGATCCATAAAAATGTACAACATATTGCTAGCTTTAGCATAAACAGGTCTGTTGTGTGTCCAAATTAATTTTTTCCCTATTATACAAACAAGCTTGTATGTCGAAATGTAGATGGTTATTTTAGCTAACCATTTTAGTTTGAATACATTTTTTTAAATGGGTGCTGCATTAGCACTTTTTAAAAATGTAAACAGGTAATAGAAAATTAACAGAGTTAAAATTGTGACAAGTCATGAAGTGATAAGGTAGAGTTAACTAGCGGTATACACACCTCCATCTGTGCACCATTTTGATACATTGGTGGTCTCTTCTGGATGTAAGGGTTATGGTAGGGGGCTGGTCGTCTGTGGTACATGTTTGGCTTCATAGGGCCTGGACATGGGCCACCCCCCATAGACATGGGGGGCCCCGGATGTCTCTGGCCTGGCATACCAGGTGGATACTGGGGCCCATATTGATGCTGGTTGGGTGGCATCTGAGGATAAGATTCCATATACTTATAAAACACAGGCATGACACTGTGTCCAGTTGAATAAGTGGAAACTTTTAACAAACTGAGCATGTTACAATTGTCATTTCAATCTTAGCACCCAATTTCAATACAAGTATAAACATGCTCATTTTGTTGTATTTTATATTAAGCCTAATAGAATTTCAATGGCGAGCAGTGAACCTCTAGAGTCTGTTCATACCTGCATGCCAGATGCGTACTGGTTATTCATGTTCATTTGCATGTTGATGTTCATCTGCTGCTGATTCTGCTGTTCCTGGATGGCCACCATGCTAGCTGTGGCCGTGGCTGTAGCTGTGGCCGTTGCAGCTGCAGCCACATAGGCCGCTGCTGAAAGTGCTCCAGGCGGGGCCGTGTAGTCGTTGGGGGCTCCACCTGACATCTGCGGCTGGTTAGAGCCAGGTGTGTTAGGGGTGGGTGGGTAGCCACTGAAATCACATTAAATAGAGAAAAATTTGATTATATCCCAAGTGTCAATTTTTGGTATAAAAAAAATCAAATAAAATGATTTTGATATGACTTTTTTGAAATAAAAGTTGGGAAAATCTGTATGATTAGATTTTCAAAAAGTTGTTATGCCTAGGCCATTAATTTTTTATATAAATGCTATGCTTGTCAAATTTAAACAAGTCTAGAGACAACACTAGACAATCTATACCAATAAACCTACAAGAAACCAAGATTGAATGTGTTGACAAAACTCACTTGTAGGGTGCCATAGCTTGGGGGTTGTAGCCAGGTTTGTTCATGCTGGGGTACCCCTGGGGCGGCTGACCATGACCAGATGCTCCAGTCATGGTCGTGTTGGCAAAGCCGGGTGTGTTGTGTGTAAATGGTCCACTCTGTGTCGTGTGTACTGGGAAGATGGTGGTGACAACATTCAGTTGAGTCTGGCCTGGATTTGGTCCTCCCCATCCTGCATTTGGGTCTCCACTAAAGAAAAAAAAATTAAAATTAAACATTTGTTTTAGAAAACTAAGAAGGCAGTTAGTGCCTGTAAATGCTTTTCTTGGTAAAAAGTAAACCTTAATCTCATAGCAAAAAGTGAATGTTCACATAGCACTAGTATCATATTCAAAGTCTGAACATCCAATACTTTTTATGGCTACATGCAATGTTTAATAGAGCTTTAATAATATTTGAATGTAATAAAAACCTTGGGGGAAATTAACAAAGCAAAAGAGAAGTGTTTCTAATAATAAATTACTTTTTGGGAAAACTAAGAGATAACTTGTTTGCTCTAGTCCACATCCCCCCTTCCCCCCCCCCCCCCCCCCCAATTAATTTAGTCAATGTTGGTTATCATAAAAGGTGACAAACCCTGTTGACTCAAATACTAAAATGTTAAAAATAGATTTCTGTTTACAATACTGTTGTAGGATACTGGTTCAAAATATAAAAAAACACAATGTTTCAGGTGATAAACATGTACAAATTTAACTGGACCAGAATATTATAGATCAAGAACTATTCACTAGATCTAGATGTTGATTAATGATTTAGCACAGCAGCAATACATAGACGTCTAATTCTCAGTGAGAGTAATAAGTCAATGCAGGTTAAATATATAAATCTAGACTAGATCTAGATCTAAATAAAAACTAGAAGTCTACTGGTTTACCAGGTTTTAAAAAAAGCTTATGCCGCCTTATGAGGCAATATAAAAAAAATGTAAATATGTAATATGCCAAGATTAGCCAACTGGTAAACCAATTAGCCAGAAGAGAAGTCCTTGTATTTTATCTTTGATTTCTATCTCCCAATTAAAAGGGGGCAGGCCATGTTATGTATAATAAAATACCACCCATTCCCTTATCTCGCTTCTCAGCCGAAACCTGGTTTCAAATAAAAATGTCAAAAGTTTAAGGTTTCTCTCCACCTGTTTCGGTGGTTTCAAAAGTAGGTGAAACAAGGCGAAAATTTCTCCGTTTGATAAATGAGTTACACAATTCTGGTCTTCCCCCATGAACTACTGTAAGGTGTTTTCATTTTTCTCCCTCCAGAGAATGTTGTTTTGTTATGGCGTACACTCGGACTGTCGTGTCTGCCATCTTGTTCGTTTTTTGGGACAAGTGACATGGAAGTGGCCTCCCTTGTCATTAAATAAAATATTGGATGGCTTCACGTCCGTTGTAACGGGTTGCCACATTGTAATATATTTTGCTGAACAGCATTTTTTAAAAATACAGTGTTTAAGTCAAGACAACATAAGGGTGAAATGATTAAATAAACGGCATAAAATTATTGTCAACGTGGTAAACAATTTAAGTATTCACAAGTGTACTTTTCAGTTAGCAGTACCATACAATAAAAGGCGTGTGTTTATCACAATCTGATATATCATATAGGTCTACAAATATTGAACTTAGGGTTTGGAATTTAATATCAACAAACTCTGTTTGAATAAGGTTTATGAAACATGGGCAATGAGAATAAATTAAGAAAAAGCTAAAAACAACCACCAAGAGGCGATGACGTCACCCGCGTGTCGAATTTCCCGACTGCCCTACCACAAACAATCATTCACTGGCAGTCAACAATCTATTGACATCCCAGAAAGTTCTGGAATCCTGATAACGCCCTGTTTACGGGCTGGATGCTCAACTATCGTGTACATGTACACCAAACCACCAGGAGTCGGGGGGGGGGGGACACTGTTAAAAGTATATATTTTCTATATAAATTTCATTTCGTTCGGGGGGGGGGGGGGCGGTAAACTCTGGACATCAGGGTGACTTAACCATTCGTTGGGTGACTGGTACGATTGTCAACACCAGTCATACACCTGTTGCACTGAGCGAAAACAAATGCTCTGGTGACAGCTTCCTGCCTAACACCACGCCAACACCAACAAATGTCACCACTGCAAAACATCAAATCACCCACAAAATGTCACTTAAAACACCATGTCACTACTACAAAATGTGTCACAAATACAAAAGAACACGTGTCACCACACCAGTCTCACCCCTTCTCTCCAGAACAACGACATAAATGTTTTCAACGGGTTAGCTATTAGCAATTGTGAGCATGCACTGCAAGTCCCCCCCCCCCCCCCCCATCACAAGTGTCACCAACACACATATCACACAGACACTAACACCATTTTCTATTATTTACTGACATATAGTTTTAAAACAATAAAAAAACAACTATTTCGTCACACGACAAAAAAAAAATTAAACTTTAAAATTTTCTAGCAGAAGACAGTGCCGACGTCAGAGTTCGCGCCGCGACCTTTCCCGCCCCAACACTTGTGATTTCCCTCCCCCTCCCCCCCCCCCCCTCTCGCAGCCGTCAGTGGCAAAGCGTGATGACGTCACGTAACAGAAATCAATTGGTAATTGAGTTTCCGTCATTTAGACGCAATCTGCTTATAGGCAATTTAAACTTTTTCTTTTTTTGTTTGTTTCATATACGTGGGCGAGTGGATAAGGGGACAAATAGTGGGGGGTCACCATTGCGGAAGAAGGGGGTGGGGGAGTGTGGTTACGACAACAAAGCGGTGTCACTATTGAGGGGGTGGGGCCAGTATGTCGCACCCACTCATCCGCTGGTTATTAAACACCACCAACACCTTGCGGTCGACAACATCAAATTTTATGTTCAATTACAGCAGGTGATCACAGAGTGATTTTTTTCGATCACTGCCATCGATTTTTTAGTATGGAAATTGGATCAGCGTGTTGCCGCAGCACAGGTGAAGGAAATTAACGTCTGCTAATTCAGGTCTGAGAGGTCATTTGTTCATGTACAACTGACAATGTACGCAAGTGCTGGTGTACATAGCCGAACGTGTACATAAATGTCCATGTACACAACTTGCCGGTATACAATACTTGTTATGCTATTTTATGTACCACACACATAGTCAAATGTTGTATGTATATTTACAACTGGTCATACGCTAAACTGGACCTATGTAAAACTAGCCATGGTGTCAATTAAGGACATGTTAGGACCAACAGACAGCTGAGGACTATCAGGACTTGTGATGCGGCTTTCCATCAAGACATAAGAACTTGTCTCATAAAACAGAACACAACCTTACACACGCTCTCTATAAGCCGGGGTATGATTGGTTTTTAGTGGACACACAATCCCCCCCCCCCATCTCCCACGCGCCCCCCCCCCCCCCCCGCATCCACATGTTCCACAGCGCACAGAACCATCAACCATCTAACAGCAGCAATCAATACGACAACAGCCTGAACCACAACCAACCAGAGTACACCTGACTGAAAACATCAGCTCATCATTTCAAAAAGTTACTTACTGTCGGGGGGGGGGGGGGGTGGAGTAGGGGGTGGGGCAGATGCAAGGTATAGGATACCTGTTTGACTCGTGGGGGGGGGGGGGAGGAAGTCAAATGTCCCAGTAGTTAAAAAAAGGTTGTAGTTATTGACCTAAATAATTGTTATAAGATGGATAAGGAACCAGATACAGCGGATTATGTAGGTTGGGTAGGATTAACCTGCAAGAATGTTGATTAAGATTAACTTGCAGGATTATCCTGCAAGTGTGTAGATTAAAATGAAACTGTGTGCGGAGTTCTATGAAGCATGAGATCAGCATTTGTGGGAGAGAAAAAAAAAAACGTCCCATGCTATTTTTTTTTTTAAGCAGTGGAAACGAATGAACGTTAAAAACAACAACAAAATGGTAACCGATAGCTGGCTATTGATTGGGCGGAGGGGGTCACGTGAATGAGGAGGGGGGGAGGGAGGGGAAAATGTCAACAGGACGGAAAGCAGAGAGCGAAGGGGGTGGGGAAGGGGGGGGGGAGCAAATAATGACACGAGGGGCGGGGGAAATAACGGGAAACTATATTTTTACGTTCAGCTAAAGTGTTGGATATTTTTAGACAATTTTAAACAGAGAGTCGCGGTTGTATAAATAAAATGACGGATGAGGGAGCAGTGAGAAAGATGCATGGGGGACGGGGGACGGGGGGAGTGGGCATGGGCTGAAATCAGATAATTAATTCAATATTGTATTGCCATGGTAAAATAAAAAAAAAATAAAAAGAATAACACTGCTAAAAGACGGAGCAAAAATCAATTTGGCGGATAACAGTGGTGGGTTGGGGATAATAGAAGGGAGGGTGGGGCAGGGAGGGAGAGAGGACGAGGGCGTAGCGGTGGTTAAGTAGACGTGTGGTGGTACAGAGAGAGTGGGGTGGGGTGGGGGGGGGTTGCTCGATTTTGAAATGTGGTCAACTATTTTTTTTTTGTCAAATAAAAAATTGAACTATTGTAAGTTTTTTTTTTTAACACTGATTTTGACATTGATATGGCAAAAGTGAGACAACCTACGTCATTGAAACTTTATGCAGGCTTCTGGGAATTTCCTAGACGCGACGAGATGACGTCACCTGGCATGACACGGTTCCAGCCCCACACTGCCCGTGCGGTGCCATTTTGTTTTTCCTGTCGTGAGGCCTGCACTCAAAGAGTTGGTCTATTTTCTGCTGCTAATAATTTCTATTTATGTGTATTGACCGCTGCTAAATTCGCTCCCATGAAGTCGCTTAAGTGAAGCTCCCACCAAGGGATGAGTGGATGTGTGGGTTGTGTGCGGGTGTGGGTTGTGTGCGGGTGTGTGGATGTATCATGTCTTGAAGGGAAAAAAATCTTTAAAGACTGAGTAAGTTTGGAAGAAACTCTGAGAAAATTCGAATTAAAAATAAGCTCAAACGGAACTTTTCTAGAAAACGCAAATCATACAAGTTAGGGTAATTAAATCTTTGGAGAAAGTCAAACTAAAAATAACATAGCTCTCATGCTGCACAATGTAACTGGCAACTCGCAACGATGTGGCACATGGTATCTTTGTTGAGCGTGTTTAACACGGATTAACCAAATGGATTAGCCATATGGATTAACCATAGACCAACATGCTGTAGCTGATATGCACTAGTAACAGTTGCATTG